ACAGACACACACACACACACACACACACACACACACACATCATTTTGGTTAGTTCATATGAACTTTTAGAAAGTTTGATTTTCATCATTTCTGTAGTATATGTTTCAAGTGGTTCTTATAAAGAATCATCCAGGTGGACTTTAGCATCCAGATAGTCTTTTCTCTTTCAATAGGAACACTGAGCCCCAAAACATTTTGAATAGTTCCTCAAAGTGAGTTTGGATCCATTGTTTAAACCCTGGCTCTCCCTTTGACACCCTTTTCTGTGTTCCTTCCAGAATGATGCTGCCTTACTCTCATGTTTCCCCCAGTACTTGTTTGCTGGGCAAGAGAAATCTCTGGATAGCCATTGATGACCCAACCCCTCACCCATCTCTTGTGTACTTTCCACAAAAGACTGAAAACAGTTCCAACAGCCAGAGATAGGAAGTGGAGTGATGGGAAATCCTGGGCTCTGTTATTGTCTTCTGCAAACAAGCCACTGTCAACACATTGGTTGGCTCAAGGGTCCCATCCTCCTAGAGTGTACCACTCTGGGTAGGCTGACTCAGCAACCCTAACTGCAGTGCTCCAGGCATTCGAAGAGGAAGTGTTCTCTAGCCTGCAGCTTTCCTGAGCTAGGAGATTGACTTGCTAGAAATCTTTGGCTTTTGTTGTCTCTTTATGCCTGGCTGAAAGCTGTAAATCTGCTTCATATATTTTGTGCCTGAGAGTATACTGTCTCACTAGAAGTTGGGAAACAGATTCTTTGGTTATTTTCTATTCTCTTGTTCTCTCTGTTGTTATAAGTAACTATAATTACGAAAAACTACATATCAGAGCACACTAGTACTTTTGATTCTTCCAAGATACTGAAGAAACCTCTTCCGACTGAGAATGTGTTCTTAGTTAAGCAACATAAAAATATCCACAGAAGCTTGTTAGTCGTAAAAAATCCAGAGCCCAACATCGGGTCTTCTGACACTGATCTCTGATTTCAAAAACTCCTTAGATACTTAGGGAGAAGGGTTTCAGAAATATTATTACCTTGAAATAATTTAACATCATTCTTCACCATTTATGGACATCTTCATATATTGAATTTTAAATCGAAAGAGTGACATTGTTTAAAAAGTCAGAACTCACCTGTCATTACCAACAAATACAGACTTTCAGATTATACTTACAATTTAACATTTCTGTCCTTTCATTCAAGAATATCTGTTGTCTGAAACACACATATGCCTATTTATGTCAGTATGGATTTTGCACTGATATTTTAACTGAAAACTTTATTTCTCTTTCACTGAAAAAAATCAGGATTGTTTTATTTCTTGTTATATCTATCTATCTATCTATCTATCTATCTATCTATCTATCTATCTATCTATCTATCTATTTTCTGTTACTTACACAGCTCCTACACCCAAGACACCAAACGCTAGGGTAACCAAAGGTTGTAAAACATCAGTTTATGCCTTTTTTGACACCACATGCTCTGGTGACCAAAGGTGAGCCAGCAACACAAAGGCTGCATGCCTCAAGCTGCCTCCACCCCTACTCAAAGCTTGGAAAGGGGTAATCAATCCCTTTTGACCCCTGTTTTCCACTCCATTCTTGCCCAGTTGTGCACCTGGGCGTACAGTGAAGATCCACATCACAAACAGCGCTTGGCTTTCGCTCGATCCACGTCACCTGGGATCCGGCAGACCGTGCTTCTCACCTTCTCCCCATTTTTCAGAAAGGGATCCTATCCAAGTCACCGCGGTCATTTCAGATTCCCACGCCATAACCACTCACCAATCCCCAAGCACCAGCTCTGCCATGCTGTGCGCCACTTGAGAGCATAGTAAAACCAGGCTCGTTTTCAATTAAACTACAAGAGAAAATCTGAAGAATAACATGTACGGATTCTCGGTGGTTGAAATGTGATCGCTCCCTCCAATTCTTCATTCTCTTCATATCAATTACTATCTGTACTCATCTGTAAATATTTTGTTACTTTTGAAATACAACTTTGAACTTTTTCAGATGTATTTATTTTTATGCATCATGTGCAGTGCCCCGAGCGACCAGAAGAGGGCACAAGATCCCCAGGAACTGAGTCACACACGGTTATGAGCCACCAGTGGGTGTTCACAGGGGTCCTCTGGAAGAGCAGCTGAACTGCTGAGTCCTATTTCCATGCCATGAAATGCACCTATTGTCCTTAGGTAGTGGTCTAATCTTGAAATCATGAATGAACCTAAAATATCGGCACTCACCTCTTAATATCATCAACTATCAAAAGTGTTCATGTTTCTCTAATTATCACTGATTCTTCTTTTCAGTTCGCTTGCAACCAAAAGAGCACTAACATCGCTGTCCTTTCTCCATTTTCTTTTAAGTATATTCAGTTTTGAGGTATGTTTGTTATTCGTTTTTTTAAAAGTTTTCTGGATTCTCGAGAATGCAAATTTATCTAGATATTTAAACGTTTTTTCAGGAACTGGAAAGAGATGTCTCGATGGTTAATGTACATGCAGAACAAGTATGAGTCCCTAAGTTCAGGTCCCAGCATCCGGGTGGAAATCTAGGTGGTAGTACACCTGTAATACCAGTGCTGGGGGTGGAGAGGCAGGAGGATGGCTGAGACTTGCCAGTCCAGCCTAAGTGATGAGCTCTACTTTCACTGAAAGACTGCTTCAAAGCATAAGATGAGGAAATACGGAAGACAACCTCCACAATATATATACACAACCCCTACAAACACACAAATGCTCTTCAGAACCTTTACTGCCTAGACATTAGGGTACAAATCTCAACACTTATGGATTGTTTCTAATAGTGTTGCGTCCATGTGCAGAAAAAGAATGCCTAATTCACCTTCATTTTATACGAATGTATTTCCCGAAAATTACCATAGTCTCCTATCATCTTCATTTAGGAGTTAATTAAATTACTTCCATCAAGGGCACTTAACCCTTGGTACCCATTCATTTTCCTGAGCTACAATCTTATTTTTCTTAAATCAGGATAATTATTTGATTATCTACATTATTTATGTCTTCAAAACAATAAATTGGTCTCCAGGCCATGCTGTAGTAGATTAGTAAATATTACTGACATTTCATGTGGAGGAGGCAGTGAAGTGTGGGTGTGCACATGCCATGGTAAGCATGTTGATCAAAGAGACGAGCTCAGATGTTGGTCTATTCTTCCACGTTGTCTAGACAGACACTTTATTCTCTTTTCTTTATTATTGAAAAACCTTGTCATACAATGTATTTTGATCATCTTTCCATTCTCCCAATTCCTCCAATATCCTCTCTACCTCTCTAACCCACCCAAATTTATTTCTCTCTCTCTTTAAAATACAAAAAAAGAAACAGAAACAGACCCACCCCACACACTAGTGCACAAAATGTCTCTACAAAAACACAAACCAAAATGTAGAACTAAAAGACAAATAAGATGAAAACAGTAACTCCCAAACTAAGCCAAATGAGACAAGAAATCTCAAAAATACCATGGAATTAGTTTTGTCTTGGCCACCTTCTCCTGGGCACAGAGCCTGACGTGGGGTGTGTCAATACACCTATCGAGATTCCAGTAGAGAAAACTATCTTTTGCCCTGTCAGTGGGTATCAACTGGGCATAGCTTCTTGGTGAGGTGTGGGAGCCATGCCCACTTTCCACTCTCAGTGCTGGGACCCCATCTGTGCAGGCCTAATACGCATTGCCACGGTATCTGTGAGTTCATCTATGCATCAGGTCTGTTGTGTATGAAGACACTGTCTCCTTGTCGTCATCTATCACGTCTGGCTCTAACCATCTTCCCACCTCCTCTTCCACATATACCCTGAGCCTTGGAGGGGTTTGATAAAGACATCCCATTTGAGGATAAGTGCTCTAAAGTGTCCCACTCTTTGCACATTGTCCAGTTGTGGGTCTGTTTAGTTCCTATCTACTGCAAGAAGCAACTTCTCTGGTGATGGCTGAGTGGCACTGATCTATGAGTATAGTAGAATGTTGGTAAGTGTCATTGTATTGCTATATTCCTTTGCCAGAATAACAGTATTTAGTTTTCCCCTCAGCCCATGGCCTATCTAGTCTCAGGTTCTTGACTAACAGAGTCAGGCATGGGTTCATATTGACTCATGGAGTGAAACTTAAAACTCAATCATAAAGTGATTGGTTACTACCATATTTGTGCCACCATTGCTCCAGTGTATTTTACACGGAGGTCAATGTTGTAGGTTGTAAGATTAGTAACTGGATTGAGTACCTTTCTTCTCAGATTCATGCAAGGTACTTTCCAGTACCATGAATGCTAGTCAGTAGGGATAACACTTCCAGTTAGGCACCATCTTTACTTCTCCAGTTTGATGAAACAGAAATTTTAAATGTGAGACAGGAATTTTCCACTATTGCCTACACCAAGCTGGTTTATCTGAAGGCTTCTAGCTATTCTCCTGTCTTCACCTCCTATTTTCAGGTAGAGGATATTGGGACCACAAACACTTGAACTACTGCTTTCTACTTCCACAGTGGTTCTTGGCATTTATACTGAAGTTCTCAGGTTTGCAAGTCAAGTGTGATAACTACTGAGCTATCTTTCCAGACATGCTCCCTGCTTGTTTTTGAGAAGTGTAATATTTTTTTTTACTTTCATCTTGTAATTTTAAAACCCAAAAGTGACCAGCCATTCATGTCTGTGTGTGAAGGCTTGTTAACTTTTTGTAGGGAGTATTATACAAAATCGCAATATGACCATAAATGGTAGTTATTTCTACGGAGTCATTCATTGTTTCTTGATATTATTAGTGTAGTGACAATCATATACATTTAAAATATTTGCATATATGATGGGAGAGAGAATTGGTGGGAGTGATAGACACAAAGAAATAGGCAGAGAAATTAGGGGGCTATAAATTCATAGGTATAGAGAACCAGGTAGAGAAATGGGGGATGTGGTTAAATAAATAGGTACATAAATATTGACAAAGAATCAGATAGTTATATAGACACAGGAATAGAAACATACAAGTACACAGATACAGACAGATTGGAAAAGTGATGCATAACATCTAAATAAATGGAGACAGAAAAATGGAGGGGTGAAATATTCATAGGTACATAGATATAGGCAGAAAAATAAGTGAGTCAATAAAACATAGTTACAAAGATACAGGTAGAAAATTTAGGGCTAATAGGTACATAAATATTGAAACAGTTTACTCCATATGAAATTTACTATTTATTCATAAAATTTTGCTTCATAATTATTTAGAATACCAAATTCTAACAGAATTTTCAGAATCAAGAATATTCAATATATAATTCTATATATAGCTTCTATACCTCCTAACCTGAAATGTTCATTATTCACTTTTCTTCCTATAATTATATGCACATAATAGCATCATCCTTCTATAATTTTAATAAATAATCCTGACAGCTCCACGAAGTTTCCCAGTATATCCTACAGATAATTCCTCAGTTAAGATATTCATCAATTTAGTGGTTAACAAGTATTAGATAGTATATTATTTCCCCAAATTTTAAGTAATAAAATCAAATATTAGCTACACATACACATCTCTTAAAACAAATTAGAAAGGATGGTGCCAGCAGCAGGACACTATGAATTCCACTCCTCACAAGAAACACAAAAACATGAATCTGTCAGAACACAACTCTAAAAACTGTCAAATGAGATGAATCCCTGATTTGTTAAACAATTATCATGTGGCCAGTCCTAAGATCATATATGTAGGAGCAACACTAAGCAGATTCAGGGGGTTGTAGGTTCCTGTAGTACACTTTTTTGCTTTTTGTTCCCATGTCAAAACAAGAGACCCAAGTACAATGTACAAGAGAGGAAATAACTGGTGTGTCTGTTCCCTGAAATGGAGGAGAAATAATTGCAAAATCTCAATCCTATCTTGAAGTTCAGATTTCTGCAAGTGTCTCAGATGTGGAACACCAATACCACATATTTTTATGATTCGTATTTTGGACTACTTGTTCACAATCTCACTGTAAAGCATGTTACATGTTTAACCAAAAACAAATCACTGAAGTGATAAAATTCTAAATTTTAAAAAAGTTCTATTAGTGTCATTTTTATCAAAGTGGAGGGGTACTGCTGTGATGTTCTTGATCATTTAGTAAAGAAAACATGAGGCCATCTCTGACTTAATATATGGATGACTTCAAGAAAAGACAAGCTAGGAGAGTGTTTGCCTTTTTATATCCCCAAGATCATTTAGAGATGACAAAGCACACAGTGAGCTGGGTTCTCCATCAACCATCAATCATGATATTGCCCCAGTCAGTGGCGTGCATATAGGATAATCTGATGGGAGACATTTCCTAAATTGAGGTCCTCTTCTTATCTGACTATGATTTGTGTCAAGTGGACAAAATGTTAACCAGTACAACTTCCTAGTATATTTACTGGAGAAGAAAGTGAACTCCGGAGGGTCTGCTCCAAGGGTATTTAAGAGTAAATTCAGTTGTAAATTAAAATAGAACTGTACTTGTAAAACAGATTTATTTCTGCAGAATGCTTTTATATCACTGTTATTGGAACAGTAAAAATAATCCTTATAAAGATAAAATATCAAATATCAATTAATAATTCTATTTTCTCAAAATTCACTTAGGTGTCTATCAAACAGAATGAGTTATAAAAGCTTAGTCATGAGGGTTACTGTGTGAACCACAGACTACCTTTTTTTGTGCCACCCCCTCACAAAAAATATCAATTCTGTCAACAAACAACACAGGCAAAATAGGGGTATTTTTATGATTTACATTTTGGACTATTTGTTAGAAATTTCACTGTACATATAACAGTATTATGTTACATGAGTTCAACCAAAGAACATGGAAGTGGTAAAATTTTACTAGTACTTAAAAAAATCTAATGGATCCTTTATCAAAAAGTAAAAGAAAATAAAATGAAATAAACTGCTATGAGTTTCTCAGACTTCAGACTTGGAGTGCAATAACAAAGACAGGAGGCCATCATTGATGTAATAAAAGGACGACTTTATTAAGAGAAGACAAGATATGTGTTTAGCTCAAACCTTCCACAAAAAAAAGCACACACACTTACTCATATAATACTTTGGTTTAAAAAGTATTTATAACACCAATGCTAAACCTGATGTTCAGGTGTAAAATACAAACCACAAAAACACAAGCTTGCATAGATGACCAGATGTAGATGTACAAGTGGTATTGAAGGAAGGCTTGGGCACTGGACATGTTAGCCAATGATGTCAGCCTCCCCAGATACATGAAAGTAACCAGCACCATATTTCTCATCTTCCTCAACAAGGTTATGGACAGGAGCAACTAAGGCTGTACGAAGATGGTTTGGAATAGACTGTTTCCCGCAACCTAATTCAGATGGCTGCATACATGCTCACCAAACCTCCACCAGTCACCTTAAGGCATTCACACAGTGTCCCTTACAGTTTTACTCCATCTCTACATAGGGAAGTGGTGGGAAGAGGTCTCTTTCTTCAGACAAGAGACAATATTCTGTTGAGGTTTTGCTCAGCTCCATGAAATATGTAATCCACAGTCATTATCCTCCCCTCCTTCCTTGACTATAAACTGACCAGCACTTGGATTCCATGCCATGTGTTGTGTAAGTGTATCTATCTCAGCATACTTAAAGGGCTCTTGCTAAATGAAGTGTGTAGTGCCTGCAGAGTTTAGCTCAAGAGAGTAGCTTTTAAATTATAACACAAATGGCAGTATCACCTCAAATTTCCTGAGAAACTTGATTTATGGAACAAACTTGTATTTCAAATCCAGCACATGTCAAATGTTTTGCAGCAATAGTTTGTTCTTAGGAAATGGCCAGCATTACTGAGATTTGTCATTTCAGAATGTCACTTATATATGTCAGTTCCATATTTTACATTCTAATATTTACATCATTTCATGAAATTAATATCTGGTTACTCATTAAAAGCTACATGAAAAACACAGCTGGCATGGAGAAAGGGAATCTGCCTTTTGGATTACAGCAAATGCTAAAGCTAGAGCCTGTGGGAATTTAAAGACCATTTACTCAGAAGTAGGAAACTTCTAATATCCAAAGCTCTTACCAAATTTTTAGCTAGAATCAATTTCTGCAATTACAGTTTGAATTTAGTACAGTAGAATACACCCAAAGTATATAATTCTTCACAGTTCAGCCTCTCAATGCCTACTGTTTACTGTTTGCAATCCTTGTCAGTTTGTTATTCAAACCCTTCTTCATATTTGCAACTCATCAATAAAGACCAGGGCAATACAGTTACATAATTAATTCTGCCCTGATCTAAATGCTGAAATCATCATATCATGAAAAGCAACTTAAAATGAGAAAACCACTTTCTGTTTTGCTTAACAAGCACAAAGGCATATTAAATCTATGGTGAACATGTTAGTAGCAGTGCTCAGATTTACAAGGGAAAGAGAATGGCTTTCAGTGGCAAACACTCATGTGATTACTTGCATGATTGTGCTTGTCTGTGACATCAAACACAGCCTATAAAAGCTATTCTTCTATCTTCTCTATCATAGCCACATGTTTCTTGCTTAATTCTTTTAAAAGGAATAAACTACAACACTCTTCATATCACCATGTCAAATAAGCATCTCCATTTTGTTTTTCCATATTTTTGTTAATGATAAATAAACATTCAAATGCATAAACATATTCATTAAAATTTTTAAAAATAATCTTATTGTTGTCACTGAACCATAGAACTCTTAAAATATGTTTTGCACAGTCATCACAAAAAGGAACAGGAAGCTTTCAATGGTTCAGAAAGTGATTATTGTGTGTGAATATTCCAGCCAGGGAATTCTCCACTAGCAGTGCTTCTGGCCATGCCTCTGTCTGCTACTCAGGGAACTGAGAAATACATTTGTTAATATTTTAAGTCAACCCACTTTTAGTGGGAGAAGTTCAAAGCTCCAGATGATGCTGATGCTGATGTTTGAGGTGCTTCTATGAATTGTATGCCAATGGAGGGCTCACAGGAGTTCATATACACAAAACACAATGGCCTCAGTTGGACTCAAAGTAATTTAAGGCAAAAACTGATTTTCACAGACATTGCTGACATAAAGTGCAGGGCTCATCAGAAAAGTGACTCTATCATTAATGATTTCCTAGCTTATTCTTGCTTTTTTGGAGCCTCTACAAGTAAATTTGAGCATTTCTGATGAGTTACATAGCAGAAGCAACCAAAGCCTCTGAGTCTTCCCTTTAATTGTCTTTACATATCATCATGATAAAACCCAACCAAACAAAACAACTTTCACCACATATTTGGAGAATACTGCTCCATGCAGTATTAACAGGACACCAGACAGTAGGCTGTTCTGGGCCGACATTGTCCTACCACACGGTAGGAAGAACTAAGCATCCTGTCAGCAGTCAGATACACAACTATGGCTCTAAAGCACACAGACACCAACAGAAGGGAGAGATATGGGGTCACTTCACTGCTGTGAGCAGCATATAACACACACGCATACATTATACACTTTAAAAATCTTTCTTTCTAAAAGATCAGTTTGTTTTTTTTTTTTCTTAGAGGTTGTCCTAAAAAGCCTCCTACAAGAGTATGACACAGCATAGGCAGTGAAATCAAGGCGAGCAATGTTTCCTTTCAATGTCAATCCCCCCCCCCACGTGCCCAAACACTCACCTCCCAAAATAGAAGAAGCCATTTATTTCGAACTCTATTCTGTCTGTTCTCTGAGTTATTTCTCCATGGGCCTCATCCCTTCATTAGGCTGATAACCTCAGCCAATCTGAAGTTATCTTTTAAAAGTATCAAATAATAGATCTTCATAGTAACCCAAGGTGAGTTTTATATAAAGGCATTACTCATTAAAAATCAAGACTGTAAAATGTTAACCACTTATGTGGCAAACAGAATGAATGCACCATATTATAGTAGTTTTTTTTTTTTTTTTTTTTTTCAGTTTGGCACAAACAGATTTTGAGAAGCTATCACAGTACTGAAGAGTCCAATGGAACACAGGTTACATATTTTAGAGCATGGTTATCTAGGTCCATGTGAGCAAGGCCACTATAGAAACGGTTCTTCTGGTGCACATCTATGCACATCTCTCTACCTAATTCAGATGCTTCCCAAAGACCAGAAAACTACAGTTTGGTGTTTAGTTCATTACTGCCATTTGTCATAAAATCACTTGACCACTTCCAAAAATTCTCAATATTCTTTGAGAATAAAAGAAACAATTATCTATTCTCCCAACAAAGCAATTATTACTAACAGTAGCTTGAATATTGGAATCAATTTTCTTTCATGTCAGGAAATTTAATCTGACTTTTAATTACCCTCTTTTCTAAGTGACCGTTTAAAACACTTTAGGAGCGAGTATCATATAAGGTGGCCTTGTGATGAGGCTCCTTAGCTCATTCTGTAATACTGGTGTCATAAGGGCACGACCTGAAGAGAAATTTAGAAACAAAACAATTCTCAAGGACAGAAGATTTAGTCTATATGTTGACAGCAAAACATAATACAGTAAGTACCTAATAATTAAACTGCATGTACTTCAACAGCAGGAGGAACAAAATGAATGCTTTCATTTTTCTACAAAAATGACAAATTAAAGAGCAAAACCCACAGTGAAGAGTAGCAGTCCATTAAGAGCTGTTAGCGGCTCCTATCATCTCAAAGATGCACTATTTGAGTGATAGCAAAAATTTGAGAACATTAACTAAGAATAATTAAGTACATTTTCTATCTTCTTAGTCATAAGTAGTAATTACTAATAGTCTTAAAAACTGTTCACTTTACAAAAAATAAACAAAATATTTTAAAATTCTACTCTTAAAAACAAACTTTTGAAAAGTAACAAATTTTCCAATACTGATGTCAAGCTGGCTGTCATCTGGGCAGCTCTGCCTCTGGCCACCCACTGAAACAAGTAAGACTCCAGTATTCTGGTTAAGTGGCGTGGCATTTTTCAAACTGAAATATGTTCATTTTACAGTAATAAATATAACAAAATGAAGTCTATGAAAGGCAAAAGAAATGCATTTTCAAAGTAAAAGTGATTATTTTATGATAGAAAAATAAACGTTTATAAAACAAAAATATGGCAAAAGATGCTGCCTGTTTTGCCTAACTATCAAATAAAAATGCAACTATACTTTTCCTTTAAGGTTACCATTACAAAATATCTTTAAAAACATGAAGTAAAATCACAGGGCAGATAAAGAAAAATGCAGCATTAGCATAAACCAACAAGACTAAGCTTTGATAATGGAAACCATCGTGCAAACTCTGACTTAAGGCTAGGTTTTCCATTTGTCTGAAAGATCTTCCTATATGTATTTCATGGCCAGCACTCAGGCTTCTAATTCCCCTCCTCTTCACTCTTCCTAAATGTCTGCCTGCTTGCTTTGTTTCTTACAAAATTACTGTTTGCCCACAGTTTCACTCTTCGCTGCTTTTCACTCAAATTTCTATCATATGTAACTTTATGAAACCAAAGATATGAAATCAGAGATCAAAATCTATTGGGAACAGTTTCCTAGAATCCTCCCAAGGCTAAAACAATCTGGAAAGACAAGGCAAATGGAAGGCAGGCAGTCCCTAAATTATTTCTCTCAGCAACCTATTTTCTTCTTTCCTAAATAAACAGTATATTGACGTGACAAAAAAATCCATACAATGAAAACAACAGCAAGGGAGAATGTCATCAGCTATAGACATAGCTTGGCTGCCATTTATATTAACTAAGTGGTATGGGCAAATAAACACTTCAATAAATTAGCAGCCAGATAAAGACTCAAGTTTTGAAGAAGAGTTTAAAGGTCTTGAGGAAAGGACGATGATGGCCATCAACATAGAAGCAGAACTGTATACCTGGATAATGACTCACTTCATCAAATTCAACTTTATGTTGAATTAATCTAATCATTACAGGTGCATAAAACATCACTGAGTGGTTGCCAACAAAAACTGCTACATCCTAGGAGCAAGACTGATGGAATCAACTCTTAAGAAACTTGTCCTATTTCCTTTGGCTCCACAATTAAGTTAGAAAATCAAGGTATTTTTTTCTTTAATATTCAGTTGATTCTTCAAGAACCTGAGTGAAAGTATCAGAAAATTAAGGTTTTTACAAATAAATATTAACATGTGATGCATTGCCCAAAGGCTTCAGAAAGACATGCTACTGAGGAAATAGCAGCACAATGCTACAGCATGACTCCCAGAGCAACTTTCCTAACAGGTTAGTTACACATCTATGCAGAGCCACATATCTAGAGTAACAGAATCCACTGCTCTGGGAATTTCCCCTATATTTTACTGTTGTGATTTTACTTTTTTGGAAGAGGATAAAGACCAAACACTATATCCTTCAAAATATCAAACGAATAAACAACAAAGCAGCTATTTCATATACTTAACTATACTTTCTTGGATCAAGATGTTATGATTTACCGGATAATGTATCTCTGTACTCTTCTAAAAGCTAAATAAAATCCTAGTCCCTAGATGCCAATATCCTATACATAGCGAGTGTCATTTCACACAGTTCTAATTACATCCCAGGAAATTTATTCAGATAAAAGGTGGCCAATATTCAGAAACTATATTTCCTTATACTGCCCAAGTGACCAGAACAACCAAAACATCTGAAGTGAACTGAAATTTTTATAATTAGGAAAACACTTGAGAGTAATTCCCAGGAATGGCACATAGAAGGAGAACAGCCAATGTGGAATGCATTTTGTATCGTTCAGTTAATACGTGCTACAGCAAATCCATTTTCAAGGCAGGTTCCATTTTTGTTTCGTTGTTGTTGTTGTTTTGTTTCATTTTGTTTTACTGCTTATTATAGAAACCTGGGGAAAGGAGAAAAAGGAAAAACAATTGAAATGCAGGTAACAGGCCCTTGAGTTGGGAAAGAATATAAAGCTGTCTCTGTACTTTTAGCCTCATCTTGGATTTTTCATTTTTGATGGTACAAAAGTGCAAAGACAAGTCTTGAGACTCAAAGTGCAAACTGCCATATGAAGCTGCACATTGGAAAGCTCCCTAACAATTTTATTGCAGTGAAATGTATGGATGTTGGGTCTGTTTAATTTTGCTGTGTAATTTCTTTTTTCATTTGCAAGTTTTTTTCATAGTAAAGTTTTAATAAATTTTAGAAAGATGAAATTTTTGAAATTCACTGTCTCCCTAGCCAAGATTTATCTTCATATATATGCACTTCAAGTGCTTTCCTCTTTGCTTTTCTCTTTTTAAAGCCTTGGCTTATAAAATACTCACATACAGAATCAATTTGTCATTTTAACTTGGCAGCAAATGTATGTCGAGGACAGACAGACATACCCTGCCTCTAAATGATATACATTCAGCTTGAAAAAAAATAAACCCACAAGCAACTCATAGCTACATCAGAGATGTTGCAAATACCAGTAAAGGAAAAAGAATGATAAAAAACATCACCTAAGAAATCTTCGTATAAGTTCCATCAACTATTAAGACCTAATGGTTGTAACTTGTTCCACAATCAACTTTCATTTACTCTGTCCACCTCCCAAGGTCTCCCTCTGCAGTTCATATGTGCACGGCATCACACTCTTTCTGCCTCTGCTTCTGAGTGCTGGGACTACAGTACTATTGCATCCCATGCAGCCTTCTTTCATAACTGACAATTCTGGGCTAATGATTTCACTACCCATCTTTTGTAGATAGGGAAGCTAAAAAAGGAACTCTTTCTCTCATTGAGTAACTTTGGCAAATGTGTATATGCATATACTGGAAAAAACAAATGCATCCAACTATGCTTCCATTGTAAAATTATTAATCCACTATTTCTTTCCCCATTTTCTTTACTTCATCTTTCATCTGTGAGAAGCTGTGCAGCATAGATGTATACACATTGCAAATCTAATTCCTACTGTCAGGGGTGGCTGTATATCATCAACATGCTTGATTAAAACTGTTTTAGGTGTCGGAACTTTTCTTTGAAACATATGCATAGACTATCCTAATTTCTCACTTCTAATCCATATGACTACAGATTGGCAGTTGAGGCACCCCTAGTCTGAAAAGTCTGTATCTGAAATGGTCCAAAAATCTGAAACTGAATATACAGTATTGAAACCTTCAGTCTTCAGATTTCAGTTTTTTAAACTGTGCAGATAAAGCAGGCCAACAAATCTAAGTGGAAGTTGCAATTACCTCCAATAACTTGACAAAAGAGCAGTAACTTCTACATGGAGGACAGTGTAAAAACACAGAAAACCTTGCATTTAATTTAAAGTGATTTACTTTTGGCTTTCCAGTGTTTTAATATCTTCTGAGGAGAATGGTCTATTTATTTTCCCACTCCCATAAGTAAAAGACAGTATTTCATTTCCTACTATAGGATCTCAGCTTGATCAAACAGACACTCCTACCTTTATGTGAGGACTCCGACTTTGAGAAATGACGAGTGGCACTGTGATGGTTTGCAAAATGGGTGTGGTCCAGATCCTCAGGGTCCATCACTGTAGGTGGTGGTGGTCTGCAAAGAGACCAAATTTAAAAGCTCTAAGTGATGTTCACTACAGTTCTCTCTCTCTCACTGAGCAACATGGCAAAACTTTTCTGTAGAATGGGAGCACCACTGTACTTCAAAATTCCCAGTTTAGCTCCCGGGCAGCTGCGTGTTGTTGAATAAATCACTTTTATCTTACTGTTCTTGACACCCGTCACTCACTAAGCATATTTTCCCAAAGTGTGAGGCATTGTGCCATAGAAGCAAATGTGAATGAGGTATGGCCTGCCGTTAATTTGCTTCATGTTGCCATATTTTACCAAGGACAGAAAGAAGTAAATAAATTAATAAAGCTAAGTAAAGAAGAAAATAAGGAATGGCTGGAGAGATGGCTCAGAGGTTAAGAGCACCGACTGCTCTTCCAGAGGTCCTGAGTTCATTTCCCAGCAACCGCATTGTGGCTCACAACAATCCGTTATGAGATCTGGTGCCCTCTTCTGGTGTACAGATATACATGGAAGCAGAATGTTGTATACATAATAAATAAATAAAATCTTTTAAAAAGAAGAAGAAAAAGCAGAAGAATAAGAAGAATAAGAATAAGAATAAGAAGAAGAAGAAGAAGAAGAAGAAGAAGAAGAAGAAGAAGAAGAAGAAGATAAGGAGCCAGAAAGGGTACTATTATTAGAAAGCTACTAATAATGGAAGAACATTCACGAACAACAGTGATCTTTAGCCACTAGGTGGCAAAGTCCACCTTAAAACAAACTGTACTTTCTGCCCAACCCATTTACAAGGTGTTATGCCAAAGAGAAACAAAATGTCCAAAAAGGAAAGTTTTAAATTCTAAATATTATTTATTTATTTATTTATTTATTCATTCATTCATTCATTCATTCATTTATTGGTTCTTTGAGACAGGGTTTCTCTGTGTAGCTTTGGAGCCTGTCCTGGCACTCACTCTGTAGACCAGGCTGGCTTTGAACTCACAGAGATCCACCTGCCTCATCCTCCCGAGTACTGGGATTAAAGGCATGAGCCACCACTGCCCAGCATTCTAAATGTTTATTAATTTAATTATTTAATACGTAAGTTCGTGAATATAAATTTCCAAAGGTATAATCAAAATTTTGCATTAAAACATTGAGCTAGATTTACACACCGTACTAAAGGATCTTTTGTATAATCATGAAGTGTAAGCATGCTGAAATTGAAAAGTTGTAGTCAGTTTGGTATAAAATTGACTGTAATCAATCTATAAATTAAAGCATTCATGTTTGAATTTCTCCACTTATCCCTAGCAGAAATCACTTCCTGGAAGGGTCAAAAGAAATGATGACTTGTATGTAAAGGGAGAAAGCCACATGTTTCAATGTGGAACCTACAATGTAAGTCTGCACAGTACATGGATAGATGAGGGGAGTGGCTGACCCAACTGTGCATACTTGTTAAGCACCACCAACACAGCTATTAACAGAGTCAGACTCCAGAAACAGTGGTCTGACTAATGCAGAGCTTCACACGTGTTTATCGGCAGGAATAACAGTGCCTGTACACATGACAGGTGTGTCTGTATATTTGGAAATGGAAGCAGTAAATCAAATCTTGACTCTGAGCAGCCCCAAACCAACCAAAGCAGTGCAGTACGAGAACCAAGGGCCATCTAGAATGATCTGTTTATCCTTGAATCACAAAATTCAGATGTCACTTGAAAACACATTTTTAATTTTATGTTTTTATAATTTTGTCCCTGATATGCATAAAGACACTTTACGTGCAGTGAGCATGGCAATACTTTCATTCAGAATCATTTGTCTACAAATCAATTCTGTTGTCTGTTTCCTCAATGTTGACAAATATTCCAAATATCTTAGAAAGTGACATAAAACAGGTTAGGAAGAAGTGAGGCAGAACAAGTGACTTCAGGACTTAGCTTCACAGGATGGCTAAAGATGAAAGCCAAAACCAAGATAAGTGCATATCCTTTATTACTGTAGCAGAGAGGTCTCCTTAGTTTTTCACAAATCTCACCAGGGTCCCCCAAACCTGAAGACTATAACACAGGACATTTATGCAGAGACAAGCAATTTACTCTGAGATGCCCTCGCTTCTTTAGCTATGTTGTTGCTGTGTCCACCTTTTTTCAAATATTATATATTTTATTTTTAAATTGAAATAGAATTACATCACTTTCCCCTACCCTTTCATTCCTCCAGCCTGACATGCCCCTCCCCATTCTCAAGTTGATATTCACTTTTTATTTTCTTATATTTGTTACATATGTATGTAACACATGTATACAGATATGCACAAATACACACACACACACACAAAGACATATACATGTATAAAATACAGCCTGCTGAATCCATTAGTGCTGTTTCTATATATATGGTTTTAAGCTGACTACTCTGCATTGGACAACCAACTGGGAGAGGCTAATTCTCCTTCTCCCAGCAGTCAATAGTTACCTGTGGTTCTTTGTTTAGGGATGGAAACCAGCAAAAATTCCCTGCTTCCATGTTAACATGTTCATTGATATTGCTATTGTTCAGATCTTGTTTATGCGGCCAGTTTTAGGAGAGACCAGTTTATAGCAGACTTCTTTAGACTCAATGTTTCCTACATAATTATTATATTGCAATGGAAAGTATTGTTTCAAAGTTAGTGATATTTATGGTTAAGGATGGGAAAACTCTTACTAATCAAGAGTTTACCCTGTAGTTCTTGTGTTACAAATATGAAATGATATTTTTAATTACTAATATTGCTAATTACTAAGATTGCTAAATGTTCTTCATCGATTGGTTGCCTGTACCCCAGAAGGCTAAGTGGGTCCCTAACCTTCTCACACCCAGTGTTTTCACCCATGTCACTTAACAAAGTCATCACAGTGGTCTGAGCTTCATAACAGCAAAGAAATCTTCACTCTTAGAGACTGCTTATCTTAGGTCTATGTAAGTACTAGGGCAATCAAAAGATGCTCAAGGACAGATAAATAAATTGATATTCATATGAAGGTACTAGAAAGTAAAAGAGACTGGTAAAAGTTTTCGACCTTTCTCTGGTAGAAACTAAAACAGCAACTGGCGTTTTCAGTATAAAATCCTGGAGCTGAAATTTTGTTTTATTTTTCTTTCCTTAAGCAAGTTTTCTTCCCAAGTAGCTTAGATCACAATCTTCTCCTGCTCAGCCCCATGGGCTGTAAGTGTGCACAACACACCCTTCTGAAGGGTATGAAGTGTGCACAGCACACCCTCTGAAGTTCTGAAGTGTGCACAGCACACCCTCCTCTGAAGGTTCTGACTTGGAATTAATTCACACTACTGACTGACCCTTAATTCCCACAAGAAAGAGAAAAAAACTTGGAATAACAAAAGAAATTGGAACCTTGACAGTGGATACTCCAAGCTCCTCATGAAAATTTGTTGCTTGTTTTGTTGTTGACTGATGCCATTGCTAGACTGAAGATAACACAGAATGACTATGGAAACCCATGTTCTCCTGTCCTGTATACTAACTGTCTATGCAAAGAGTTAGCCAACCTTCCCATTATGATTAATTGTGAAAGGGGAAATAGATGCTATGCAAAATGCACACACTCACAAATCTGTCAAGACTGTGAGGTTTTATACTATGAAATAAAGTTTCATAAAATACTTATTCATTTGTTTTCTCTTATACACAGTATTTTAACAATAATATTTATTTAGTACAAGAGTTCCTTTCAGTACAAAGCAAACATAAGGATCTGTGTCTCTGCCATTCCACAGTTACACTTAACATCCATTAAACCATCATTTGACTGTTCACTTTCAATATGCCCAGGACTCTTGAGAGGGCCTATTTATATTCTGTGAACTTGTTTTCAGTTTTAACGAACCTTTAAAAGCAGCCATCCCAGTTACTCAAGTGACTAAATCAAAACCAGACATTTACTACCTGAGAACAAATATCACAACTGTTATTTATAATTACGTTCCTGCTAATACTAAAGCTTCTTGTTCCTATTTAACTACAGATTAATCTCCACAGATCAAACTTCCATTATTCTTCTTCCCTGTTTTCTGCATGCCTTCTTTCCATGTTTAATGTTTCTCCTCATATTTCAATAAAACTTTCTGAAAAGGCAATATAAAATAATAAAGAAAAAAGAACTTGCTGCTTCAGACAGTAATTCCTCAATGCTGTGACTGTAAAGGAAGAGCACTGAACATAGCCAGCTACCTGCTCAGTGAGACTTAGTCTGCAACAAGGCAATTAACTGAAAACACACACACACACACACACACACACACACACACACACACACACACACACACACACACACACCACACATATAAATGCTCTTATCCAGTGAGCTAGCTTCTCAGCCCCAATGAAAATTTAAAATCTGAGATTTCAATTTAGAAATTGGTTAATCTCATCTCTCTAGTAGAGGGCACAAATTCCTTAAATGTCAAGAAGTATTCTTAACAAAAAACAAACAAAAAAAAGAATTCTCCTTCTATCCCAGGGTCCATTATAGATATTCCTTTTATGATTTAAGCAATCCAATGTAAGATCCAAAAAAGGGCTTAAGAATAACGCTGTGACACTTAAAACTCATTCCCAATTGCAGAGTTTTGGCTCTGTGCTAGAAAGAAGAGTTCTCTTCTGGGACAACTGATGTGTGCTCACTACCCCAAAGCTAATTTCCTCTTTATCATTTTCAGGGGTCATCTTACCGTGATGGCCTGTCAATCTTGGAACGGTGTGCTTCTTCATTCTCTCTTGATTTTGAGTGTGTTGACTTTGCTTTTGACTGTGGAGAGAAAAACAACACACCAAACAATAGGAAAGGTGAATTTTAGAAAATATCTATTCTTCAATAAGCTTTCCTTTAGGAATTTCAGGCTACATTTAGTTGCATAACACAAAATATTTTTATATTCAGTCATTCAAGACAAAAACTGAGACACAATGGTCTCATGCAGACTACTTAGGTGACCAGATTAGTGGGCCACACACACACACACACACACAATCCTCAAAAGCATGTATAGATGAGTGGCTCACACACTGCATGCTCACACACCACATGCTCTCTTTCTCACACATACACGCATATGTACACTCACACACACATTGTGATCCTCACAGGCATGCACAGCCACAATCAGTAACAAAAGAGCTGCACAGCTGCTCAGACTCAGAAGACACAATTGGTGGAATCTGAATTTGAGTTCTTAAGCTCTTTTCTGTATATCTGACTCTGGGAGAAAACTTTCCAACAAGACAACTAAAGCATATTTCAAGTCAAATTTTCAAAGAAAGGATTTTTACCAGTACCAGTTCCAGAATACAGAAACTACAAAAGGCAGATGTCTACCTAAACTATCTTTACTTGGTCAAAGAATCTGAACATCTGTGGCTTCTTTTATGTAGCAGAAACAATTGGGGTTGCTCAACTAAAATGAAATAAATATATCAGAAAACATCTTGAATTACTAATGATGGGTGGGCTAAAGAGATATAATTCACATAGAAATAATACTTCCATTTGTTTTAAGACTTATACTTAGCAACTAAGCAAAGAGAAAAGGTTAGGTGATAATATCAGTTCAGTGTCAAGGTTATTTTCCCTCACAGTAATTACTGAAACTATAAGGCAGGACCAGAGACCTAGAAGAGGACTACAGAGAACAGAGTGTAGAGATCAGGTGTGTCATGGGCATACATTCTAGGCTGCATGTTTCCAGGCTAGTACAAACTGCTTCCCAAAGCCCCACGTCATTAGTCATTAATTCTCTTCCTCTGTGCATGCTCTTCTACACTACTTGGCTTTGCATTGTCAGCTGTTTGTGATTTGCCTTACTCTAGGGACACACGGGTCTCTGCCTCTTCAGCACACCCTACCATCAGCACCCACAAAACTGGCCGTGTTCCTCTCACTGTCAGGAAAAGGAACCTTTGTGTTTCCACACTGGCCTGAGTGGTACCTTGCACACAAATACTCATTGCTAAATTGAATTTGCAACCAGTGTATGCAACAATTAGATTAATTCACAGCACAACGATGACATGAAACTACTTCTGATCAAAGAGGAAAATATAATAAACAATCCCAGGTCCTCCTAAAGTGTTCTTGTACTGAAACATAAGCAATGGTTGCTAGGAATATGCATTTACACAAACAGAAAGCTGTGTGAAGGGGCAGAAGAACAATGCAGACACACTGAGAAAGTAGGGCAAATGCAGCTTACATTGGAAGGTTGGAAAGCAGGTGAAAAGTATGCATCCTTTTGCAATGTAAGTATATGAAAAGAGATACCACACCTGAGTCTCACTCTGAACATGGTCAAAGTGAGCTTTGCAATTTGAGCAATACCAATTCAATGATGTTTTCATTGTGAAACAATCATGGCATGTTAGTCATGTATGTTATGCAGGTATTTTACATATCCAAAATGATTTTCAGAGCTCATCCTAAAAGCAGAGTCCTGTTTCCATCTCTCATTTCATTGTGATTTAAAAGTGAAGCAAACAGAAGAGGCCCACACTACCTTGCACTCAGGGTCATGTTTCCTTTTGTCCAAAGATGATTTTTCTCGCTCTTTGGCTTTCTTATAAGCTTTCTTTTCTTCGGCCATCAAAAGTCGAGCAATTTCCTAAAATGTGGGCAGTATCATCAGTTACAGATTTGAAGTTGTTTCTCAACAATCTGGGGAAATCTCATTAATATGAACTAACCTCATCCTGGGCAACCTGAGCCGCTCTTATGTCCACATGGGTGGCCTGTGAATAAATCAGAAGCACAACAAATAAATGGAATCTGTACTGTCCATTTAAAATATCTTATATAAAATAAGTTAGAATTTGAAATTAGTAATAGCTAAATTCCTGAAGTTGATAGCCAGTGGGCATATTTTCACCAGCCAGAATCAAGGGACTTTGCAACTCACTTGACAGGATATTTTTAGAGAACTACCAAAACTTATTAATACAGAAATCAGGATATGGAGTTGTGTTGCTAATGGTTATCAATATGCACAGTTAAATGTAAAAGTTCTCCTCATTCAATAAGACACATTCCTATAGCCTAAGTGAACACCTAAAACTGCAGATGATGGCAAACCCTGCAGAGACTGTTTCTTCTATGCACACAAACTCAAAATGGTTTAATGTACAAATCAGTCAGAGAGAAAGATTAATTACCCCAATAATGAAAGACACTACTTTTAATAATATGGCACATAAAGTACTTATTTTTAATCACAGATAACCAAAGTTCTAGAAGGTAAACCATGGGTGAATGCAATGATATTCTACTTCACTGTCTTGATTTCCCAACCTTTAGAAAAAACACAGTTTTTCAACTGATGGAATGAACCACAGTGCCAACAACTGAACTCCACAGTGGCATGATTTAGACTGCACATCACTGCCCTACTGCTTCACTTGAACTCCGACCTTAAATGGACTCACCAAAAGTTCTTCCTCTTGCAATTTTCGAGCAATTTCAGCATCATACCATTCCTGGTCCCTGTGGGTCACTCGTGCAGGAGTACCAACAGCTTCTTTTATTCCTCTTGGTTTTGTTCCTAGAAAAAATTCATTTCAATGAGGCTGGGGCTGTTTTCTGAAAAGGTAAAAATTATTAGGAAAAATATATTCTCTCTTAATATTTAAAATGATAATTTTATATTGTAAATTGTAGATTTCAGTGAGGGGTACATTTAAAATGAATTTTTCCTGGGCATGGAAATAGTAACACACACAATTCAAACATTTTAACAAAGTTACTTCCCCAAATCTGCCTAGTAGAAACATTTCTCACAGTCTCTTCAACAATAGAGTCATGGAAGAAAATAGAACGAAAGCAAGTCTTCAAGCCAAAAACCGAAAAGAAGAAAAATAAGGCCACTGAAAATGAAAAGATTTAAGAGAAAAGAAGGCTCCAGAATCAGAGTTTTAATGTGGTTTAGACAATAAAGAGAAAGACTTCCTCTCTGGTTCTGTAGCCTATACATCTTCCTGCAGAACAGAAAGGGACATCTACAAGTGAGGGGAAAACACGTCAAAAATGACTTGCTTACCCACTGTCAGATATACAAAACCACTTGCTCTAGATCTTTCCTACAGCTTTGACCCATCTGTTATTGGCATTACACAATTATCCGGAAAACATAACATAGAGGAAATATCAGAGAGTACAATGATCTCAGAACTGTGTTTCTCTGGAGAGAAAGGGGTAAAAAGAACTGACTGACAATTACGCTTTGTTACTTTGCGATGTTATAGGAACACACAGCCTTCTATAAATTCCAAATAAGGCAAAAGTTAATGTCATTTTAAAATTGTGGATACATCCCTCTGCATACTTTTATAAGTTACAGTTATATAGGGTGAATATGTTGCCCTCAGAAATAATAAAACCTTTTAATGGAACCCTTAGATCTAGCATCTAGTATAACCATCAGTAAATGGACAACAAAGGAACACAAAATTTATCTGATAAACTCTATGTACTACTGGTCAGTGATGGGGGATGTCCTTCCATATGCTGTGAATGTATGTTTCTCTTATTCTCTTATTGGTTGATAAATAAAGCTGTTTTGGCTAATGGACAGGCAGGATGTACTCAGGCAGGAAGTATAGATAGGGCTACTAGACTAGGAGAATTTGGGAAAGAGGAACAAAGAAGGTAAGGAAGGAGGGAGGGTGAGAGGGAGTGAGAGGGAGGGGGAGAGAGGGAGAGGAAGGAAGGGAAAGAGAGGGAGGGGAGGGAGGGAGGTGGATGAGAGAGAGGGAGGGAGGGGAAGGGAGAGAGGGAGAGACCATGTAGCTGCTGAGGAAGAAAGAGGCCAAGGCATGGAGATACACAGATTAATAAAATGGGTTAATAATTAAGAGAGAGTTAGCCAATAAGAAGCCTGAGCCATCAGCCAAACAGTTTATAATTAATATAAGCCTCTGTCTGTTTATTTGGGACTAAATGGCTGCAGAACCAGGCAGGCGGAAATTTCCGTCATCAGGTCAGAGCCTGTATCACCTACTAAAATCACTTCTGAGTGATTCACTAATGTTAAGACACTGTTCCCAACACCATGTACTCTAACTTGAGTAGCCTTCGTGAGATCTTGCCTTGGGCATCTACATTAAGCCTTTCCAATAGATTCTTATCTTCAAACAACATGGAAGCATTGGCTCAATGCATTATGCCATCAAGAGAAGCATATATTAAAATAACTAGCAAAATACCTCCTTACATTTGATTCACAAACTGCTAACATATATACATGCATGAAAATAAAACTATACTTACAGAATTTAGCTTATTTTATGAAATCTACTTTTATAAACATTCTACCTAATATTGTGATGAATTTAAAATGTAGATTTGTGCATCTTATAAAAATGATGAGAAACCTTGTCTTTCTTAACTCATACTTCCCAGGACCCGACTACACAGATCACCACAAATCATCTCTAGTGATACTGAATCCTATGCTGGTCTGGCCTGGTTTACAACAGATTTCTGACTGGTTTTGGATATTCTCAAGAGCAGGGCATATGCAATTCGGTAATTATTGTCTGAATTATTATTTGTATGGCCATATTTAGGAATGCAGATTTTAGAAAAAAATAACTAAATTTAAGTAGGGAACTTGACACTGCATAAAGTCAGTGAATGGATAAATTGTTGTACCATACTCCAATCTACAGAAAAGATCAAGTTCAGTGAACAGACTAAAGCCTCACTGAGGATGACAGATTACGCCTCACTTTCTACCTAGTGAAATGTTATGAGTGGATACACTCGGCTTTCAAAATAGTCAACATTTCCCAGCAGTGGGTTCTTCTATTCAATGCAACAAAATTAACAACGGAAACATCACTTTAAATTATAACAAAGATGTAGTTAGATGAATAGTATTATTAAGCCAACATATAATGATAAAATTCTAACTACCAGCATTTTAAAAGGAATAGAATTCCATTAGTAAAAGTCAGAATTTGAACTATTACATCTCTCAAGCCCAACTACATTGATGAAGACAGTTTATTCAGATACTTGCACATCACGGGCATTTGCAATTCTCACTTAGGAGAAACACTCACAGCCTACAACTATGGATTTCAGGACAGGTAGGATTGTCTCCCCAACTACAGGGTCCTCCAAGCTGAAGTAATGAGAAGTTTTATAAGTAATGGAGAGTCAGGATTACAAAAACAGAGATGTACAACTCAACACCCTAAATAGAATCTGGAAACTGCTCTTAAGATAGGCCACATGTCAGCTGTGCCCTTCTTTCTCCAACTCCCTCCTCCTGCCCTCATTCTTTTTGTGTGGTACTGCAGATGAGTATGCTAGGCAAGTGCTCCACCCCAAGCAACACCTCTAGTTTTCATACAGTTAGCCTGTTTCTTATCTTTTCCTGTTAACATCCTACAGTCAGAGAACACAAAGAAACACAAATGAACTGTTCTCTTTAAATAAAAATCGATATAGTAAGACAAAAGGGAGTGGAGATCTCACTAGACAGGGTCTTACTATGTAGCCAAGGAGACTATGTAGTCACTATAGAGACTGGGATGTGGACTGGGATGGCTTTCAAATCACAGAGATCCTCCTGTTTCTGTTTCCCAAGTGCTGGGAATAGAGGTGTGTACCTGTAACCAAGAAAAACTAAAAATGCTAGGATTGAAGATAAATTTACACTAACTATGATTTAAAACAAAATGTAGCTGATGGGTTTTTGGTATTGTGTATGCATATTTTATAAGAAGCCATTTGACATTCAGGGTACATCATAATGTATCTGAGCCCGAATTCACAGCAGGTAAGTGCAAGTATTTAAGGCTCTGAAAGGTGAGAAGCTAACCTGTGTAACCAATAAGGTGTCACAGATGTAAGCACAACAAGTTCCTCTCGAAGTCAGACAGAGTTCAACTGCTCTATGGAAAGTCAACCAGTTCTCATTTTAATTTAACAATTCCATTTTCAGATGATTTCTTGAAATACTATTTTACATTTGCTCTTGGGACCAGTGTTGTCATCTTGCTAGTTTATTCACTGATAACTGAAAAGAAGTCTGGCATATACCACATCTCTAAGAATTGTAATTGTTTTCAACAGCAAGAGCTGACACCAACACCTAATTAGTATTTCTTAATTTCATGACCATGCCAAGAAAGCTCAATCTCAAATACCAATAGGAACTGGGAAGTACACAGACTAAAGCAGGCTGAGTATAAAATGATAAGCACAAAGCAGTTCCTACTGTAATCATTTTAGTGGCTATAACCACACTGTTCTTTAAACCCCTGTGTTGACAGGGCAAACATTTACTAACAGCCCCAGTATTGAAGACTAAGTCAAGTTGGTGCTTAGTTTCAGGTCCCCAAACTTCTTTGAAAATCATGGCGCATGAATAAGTGCTCTAAAGGTTAACTGGCCTTTTGGGCACATTCATATCAGGTTTTGCAGAATGCAGAGGTCAGTGGAATCACCAAGTCTCCTTCCCCCTCTCCACGGAGCTCCAACATAGTTAACCCAGCCACAGTGTAATTCTTCATTAGCCTACTTAATGAACGACAGCAAGTTCTTCTCTATTTTCCCAGTTCTTTGTGCATGTCTTCCTAACACGGTACATCAAATATGAAAATGTTTATCCATATTTAAATACATCCTTCTGTCTCTACAGCTTGCTCTCTGACATAAGGCTCAAACAATAATATATGTGGTATTCAGTACAGCTTGCTAAACTCAAATTAATTTTTCTTGTTACCAAGTTCATTTTTATTAATTTTTTATTTTACTTTTACTTTCTTTGACTCTTTATGGATTTCTCATCATGCATTCCAATCCCAGTTATCGCTCCATCCCTTCCCATCTGCCCTCACAAACAGGTCTTTTTAACATGGCATATGCTAAGAAAGCAAGCAGAGTTGGAATGAATCTGCAACCTAGAAACTAGTTTTGCAATCACCAGCAAAGTGTGACTAGAGCACAGCAGGTCCTCCTTGACACTTCTGTTACGATAACCTCTCCATCTCTGGAAAACTTAGTAGGTACTGACTGCAACCAGAATGATGAAGATCATGTCTATTAAAATTAGAGCTATGGTAACAGTGTTATAGCCACAAGGAAAACCTTCCCTCATTATGGCCCCAACAACACACAGCGCCTCTACTGTGGCCCCAATGAACTACAAGGATAAGCTTCAGAGTTCAAATCTTGTAAGAGTTATTTCTTTACACACTCATTTCTTACTTTTTTTAATTTTATGTTTTCTAACTTTATTTTTTGCACATATCTATACAGTATGAAATGCATATATATGAATGTGTGCAATATTAATGTATGTGTGTTTGGACTGTTGCAGTTATCCGGTATTTTCTTATTCCCTCTCAATTTTATACATTGAAGCTAGGTCTATTGCTGTATTCAGAACTAATCTTTTCTGGTGAGGGTAGCTATCCAGCATGTCCCAGGGATCCACTGTCTGTCTCCCCAGTGCGAGGGATATAGGCAGTTGCTCAGGCTGCCTGGCTTTTTATATGGGATCTAGATTAAAACTCAGGCTCTCATACCTGTGTATAAGTGAGCCATCTCCCCAGCCCTTACCCCCTTATTTCTTTACAGGAACTGAGAATTTGCACTTAGAAGAACTGCAGAATTAAGAGTTGCACATCAAACCATAAAAGATAACTTAAGACAATGATTTTAAGCTTTAATTATGTATCACTTATAGATTTAAAATATTCCAAAATGACTCGGCGATTTCCAGTTCTAGAAAATATCCTACCCTAGCTATCTCTGACAAAAAATCATCTGAATATCCATGCTCTGAAAGTACTCAGAAAAGACTGCCTACCTCTCTGATGCCTCCCATATAGATGAAAATGATGAGGTCTAGGGGATAAAGCACTTCTAGTCCCACTAGCAGATTGACTTAAGTAATTACAACCAGATCTTCTAAATAAAACCAACAATCCAAGAAGCTTCCTTTCAGAATCAGAGTATCTGATGCAAGGCTGTGGCAAAGAAAGATGAGTATTTGGGAAGGGCACCTGTAATTGTATCCTGGCCGTGGAAAACCCTCGAACTCAGCATGCTTTTACAGAACAGTATAGATAGTTCCTTCATCCCAGAGACCTAAGATCAGATACTGCATACAGTAGCTGGCTCCAAGACTCATTTTAAGGACAGGAGTTCAAGTTGGACAGAGACAAAGGTTGCTTATGATGCTTGTTGAACTGACTGGCTTTACACATAGGATGTCCAGCAGGGTGATCCATTACCTGCGTCACGGTGGTACTGAAGGTCTTCGTCATCTGAGAAGGAAGGCGTCCCAGGCTTACGTCTCCTTTCTCTGTGATGGCCTTGCCCACGGTCCCTCCCACACAGGACTTCGTTAGAGGGAAACCCTGTTTTCTGTAAAGACTTGGGTGAAAGTCTGCCATGGTGTCGGGACTGCTTTTCCCGACTCCGAGTTCTAGAGCTACTGTTTGCTTCCCAGTCATCAGATTCAGAGCTCAGAAATACCTCACCACTGATCTTCGGAAGTGGAAGTTTGCTGAGCCTCTCTTGACCAGCCTGCTTTCTTTCATGCTGATCACTGGAAGGATGAGCACCATCCCTCCCTCTGCCCGAGTTAGAAGAAGGCAGAGATCTCTCTGAAGAACAGGGTTCCTCTAGATCTTCCAAGTTCTCCAATAGATGTCTTGGTTTCTCCTTCTTCTGCTTTATGGTCTTCCCATCATTTTGGAGTCTATAAAACCTTGAGTATCCAGAACCCAATTCCCTGGCCCTCCTTGACCTTGGCTGGTCTTAGTGGAGGTAGAGGGTATAAAAATAAAAATGGATAACTTAATGAGAGCATAAATTCATTACACAGGAAAGTTGGGACTCAATACTAACATAATTTTAGGTGGATAAAATTGCTGTGAAACTTCACAAATTGAGATGTGAAGTGAATACTTACTGGAATGGTCTATGCACACAGAGCCAAAAAGACAAAAGCAAAACTTAAGTGAAGTTATTTGAATCATAAAGAATCTGATCATGATTAGGAAGAGCTCAGCACCATCATATTTGCCAAAAACAAAATGATGGACAACAGTCATCAATCCTACTTTATAAAGCCAATAACAAAATGATGGACAGTGTGGTAGTTTGAAAGAAAATGGTCCCCATAGGGAGTGGCACTATTAGGAAGTGTGGTCTTGTTGGAGGAAGTGTGTCACTGTGAAGGCAGGCTTTGAGGTCTTATATGCTCAAGCCATGTCCCATGTCTCATACTACTTCCTGTTCTTTGCAAGTTAAGAGAAATTTCAGTTCCATTTTTAGCACCATGTCTCCCTGTATACCTCAATGTTCCACCATGATGATAATGGACTAAACCTCTGAACTGTAAGTGAGCCACTCCAATTAAATGTTTTCCTTTATAAGAGTTGCCTTGGTCAGGGTGTCTCTTTACAGCAATAAAAATCCTAAGATAGACAGCAAACATCAGATTCTACTTCATAAAGCCAATCTACATCTAGAATTGGTGCTAACAATTGGGGTTGTAACGTCTTGTAAAACAGTGATGTTTTTTTAAAAGGGTGAGATTTCAGTTGTAGATTTTCAAGCATTCTCATTAAATGATAGTAAAGATACAGTACAACATTCCTAACTTCTGCTTAGTTCAAAATGATCCACAGATTTCTTCCTTCTACCTCCACCTTACCATGTGCCCAAAATAAGCATTCCCAGATACTTGTGGGACAATCTAGGTTCCAGTTTCGTGTAGAAGGAGGACAGAGTGGAGCAGAATATTAAAGAGTAAATGACTTGTTATATTGAGGTAATTCTGTTCCTCATTTTAGTTGAATTCATTCAAAGAAAAAGACAAAAAAGGAATGACATATGGAATACATAAACAGGTGTCATTTTCCAAATATATTTAACAAACAACCATACCGTCTTCTATCTATTAAAAAGTATAAGCTATACATACAAATTCCCCAGTTTAAAAGAAAAGAAAAAACTACACACATAGGTGCTTTTATAGGGTCTTATCAGGCTCAAGCATTTTATAAAAACAAGAAAGCAAATTAGTAAGTATTTGCAAGACCACAGTTACTGAAACATTTCTGAAGCATTTTTTACTACACTTTATAAACAGTAAAAACAAATTTTAATTCCATGAAAAACTGCTCAGATAATAACTAAGCTGTTCCTTGCTATTGTCAGGCATTTGCTGAACTCTGAAACAGCTTCCATCAGTAGGCAGAGTTAAGGGGTCTTGGTCATGTTGGGCGTTTTGATTCTAACATAAAGAAAAGTATGTAAAAGTACTGTATGCATATAAACAAGGAAATGTATGCTAAATTCAACACTGATAAAATAGCTTCCACTCAACATCCTCAGTTTCCTTATACATTTCCTAAAAGAAAAGGAACTTTCCTTCAAAGGTGGGTCTATGGTAAAATCTGCTTTCTTCAACAGATATTTATAAAATGATTTTCTCCGTAGTTCAGAGTCAAATTTGTACTTGACATAAAAGGGAAACCTAACAGTTTCTATGAAAAAAAAAAAAAAAAAAAAAAAAAAAAAACACTTTTTTTTTTATTTTTCTTGTTAACCCTGTCTTCACAATAGATAAAGAATTAACTGGCTACTGGAAAGAATTAATGTAATACTGACCAGCTATTAAATGATGACCACATTCAGGGAGGAGGTTTACCAGCGTGTCTATACCACTGTGTTCATGGAGCTGTATGAGTGGAGTCCATCATTAAGCTCAGAGAAAACACAAAGGATTTTGTTTGGAGATGAATTTCCAAGACTATGATTTTTTTTTTTTTTTTAGTTTTTCCTAAATAGTTAATTGGTCAATAATTGACCTATCATGGCATCTTTATGTCTGGAGTAGGAGAAAGCATAGTAGAGGATCCTGCTTAAACCTCTCCCAATCCCTTCTGGTTGAAGAAAGAGATTTGAATGTTCTTGAGACCAAGTTATTTGGCAAATACAATTAATGCTTTCATTGGCAATCATGTGTGATGTATATGACACACAAACATACTCATATGTATTTACATTTTTAGTGTGTGCCTCCATGTTTGTCATCCAAGGTAAGATTTGTTTAAACAAAATGCAAAAGTATATATGTATAGTTGCTTTATATATGTATTACCTCAAAGTTTGTCATTCACCAAAATTACATTATTTGATCTTTTCAAAATACATATGAGAAATATATTTTTCTTACTTCATTTTACAGATGAGAAAAAAGTCAGAGTAAACAACTTTGTCAAACTACAAATTGTCCTAAGGGACTGACATGATAGTTCTCAAAGGTTATTCATGCTTTAGAAAATAATCACAAATAAGAACATGTTATCAGGCCTTGAAGAGAAACATGGATCCACAAAGAAATAACTAATGCTATTTTTCTAAGAACAAACACAAATATTTTAGATAATTTCAAATTTATAATCTACAGATGATCTTTTTTTAAGATTTATTAAAGCTTAGCACAGCATAAGATGAAAGGACAAGCATATTGATACAGTGTGATTATTACATAATTAAGGCAAAAAATCAGATTAAAACAAAAGATACAGCAGAATACAAGAACTGATCATGTGTGTTGGGAAAGAATCCTTACATAGAACATAATGACTGCTTTGCAAAGACGAGCTGAATACCATAGTCCCGATAGAACCCAACTAGGTCTAACTGAAGGGTGTGTAAATGACAACAGTATAGTCAACAACACACATCATCATCAAAGCAGAAGAAATACCGTTGTCCGTACAAGCTTGGAATAGCCAACATTTTCTATTCCTTAATATTCTCTTAGCATCTTGAAACAAGCATTTATTCCACTCCACTCTCTACAAGTTTATAAAACTAGCTAAAACAAATATAATTTTTTATAGTGAAGGAAAAAGAAAAAGAAAAACCATACAAAGTTTAAATAGTCTCCTAATTTTAAACCTTACAATAAAGGTGTATCAGGATACCAGTACACAGGCTTGAGTACCAGCTCAAGTTAGTACAGGTTTTAACACAAGTTCCTAAGATGGATATTTTAGTTGACTCTTCTGCTATCCTAATGTGTTTAACACTTTAAATTTTAAAATAAAGGGGCTGAAGAGATGGCTAAAATGGTATAGAGCACTGGCTGATTCTCCAGAGGACCAGGGTTTGATTCTCAGCACCCACATGGTGGCTCACAACCATCAGTAAGTCTAGTCCCAGGGAATCTGATGCCTTCTTGTGGCCTCCCTGGGCACATGCAGCGCTCAGACATATATGAAGGCAAACCACCCTTACACATAAAATAAAATTTAAAAATTGAAGTTATTTTTATAACTTGAGCATGCTCTTGAGCATGCTTCAAGAACAAATTTAATAATAAACAAAACCCAGCACCACACAAATTCTGCATTTCTAAGATTTTATTTGACACTAAAGAACAGTAAGTAACTAACTGTATACCTTGTGGTTCCTAACATATAAAGCAATGGTAAACCAAAGCTCCACAGAGAACCCTGTCTCAAAAAAAACAAAAAAAAAACAAAAAGCAAACAAACAATGGTAACAACCTTCTTTTGTTATGTAAGATGGAATATGCAATTTCAGATGTACACACAATAAAGATAGCTCTTTAAAAAGATTTGGGCATATGGAGGAAGACATCAAGCTTCTTCCCAAACTGGACAGAGCTGTTAACTAATTACATTCATGTTAGTGAAAAAGAGAAAAAAGTGACTGGGACACTGTATTTTCAAGCTACAATAATCTTACCACCTATATACACACCAATTCTGCTCATTAAAGGCAAAGACATACTTTTTTAAAGTGGCTGATAACTGGTTTTCAAGGCCCTCTAGGATCACTGAGGTAAAATGTTTACTGTTTATGCTCTTCAGTTGTGTTCACTGGTGCCCCTGGAGTACAGTCTTGAAACTGAACCTCAGTATCAGTAAGACATAAATCTAAAAGAATTTTCCTTCATCTGATAACTCTTTGAAAGAGTTGAACTTGTTCTGTGTTTGCATATTCTGTTCCCAACACACTTAGAGATAATCCCCACCACCACAATGAAAAGCAGCACTAGACACACGGAGGGGCTTCTTTCCCTCATTAATTATCCTACATGCTAATCAAACAGCAGGGAAATCATCAAGACCATAGCAGACAGTGAATTTCACAGTTTGGTTGGTACTGCAAGTATTCAGAGGAGAAAGAAAAGCGAAGAAAGCTTTTACTCAGTGACTGATGAATTATACACCTTCCTGACTCAAACAGCACAGCTCAGGTTTTTTGAGGAAAATGTCAAAGCCAGAACTTCACCCATCGTTTGCCACACTACATCATTTTGTGCTTAGACAGTAACTACAATGGCTTTAGCACACAAGCGTGCGTAAGTGTTACAAAGCCATATTCAAGTTCTAAGTAAAAACATGGCTGTCATATGACTAAGAAGTAAGTCATTCGTTAAAATGAAATAGGATATAAATTTAAAAATCAAACAGAATACTGCCACAAATCTAAATGCACCCAGGGTTTGGGATAAGAGCCATGTCCTTACTCCCTCAGCTGATTTTGTGGACCAACTGAAAAGGGAGTTTTGTAGCTGAGCTAAGGACAGGGTAGGTCATGATACAAGCATTGACTGTTACCTCCATCTTCATGATAATAGCTATCTCCAAAAGCTCGGCCCCCAACAGGCTCTGGAATGTGCTTTTTCCTCTTTTTCTCTTCTTGTAGCTCTTTTTCTTGTAAAAGGCGTGCTATGTCCTACAAAAGGAAGCAAAAACAGTTATCACCAAAGAGTAAAGAAGGCTAAGGCAGTGCACTAGAGTTCCTCCTGTCTCTCTGGTCTGATGTCTAAGGCTCTTCAGCCTTCCATGCTTTCATCAAATGCCAACATGACTGCTCAGCAAGAGGGACACATAATCTAGAAAAGCACACTGGGCTTCATTTTTTTCCCCGAATTAAAACAAAAAGCTAGCTAAATCTATGAAGAGAGTCAAAGTAGTTTTGTCTAAAGCTAATTCCAGCATAATTTTTAAAATATGTCTTTTGAAGTCTTTCATCCAAATAGATTATTTGGATTGGCAAAGAAATAGCAAGTTATAAAAGTTAATAAGCTAGCTTATAATTTAGACATAAAAATTGTAAAAATAATCATGTGATGATTCTGAGCTGGCTTTTCACAGGAATACTGTTGGGTTAACAAAAAAAAAGAGAAGATAAGCCTCTGCCTGGCATCCATAAGCCCCTTTCTGAGCAGCTGCTATGGATGTTAATTCTCTCCCCAAATATCACTGCCCTGTAATAACAGAAAAGGTGCATACAAACAACCCCAGTAACACAAAGACAATGCCTCAAACACAACTGAATATCTACAGAGACACCAAAGAAGGAATACTACTTATGCTTCAAGGAATTACTGCAGCTCTGAACTGTTAGGCTTTAAACAAGGAATGGCATTTCAATCGGCAACATCTAGAACACAGATGAGCAACGCTGTTAGGCTTTTAATTGGTACCAGGAATGGCCAAAAGCTTAAAGAATATAAGATGTGAAGTACTGCAGCAAAATGGTGGGCTAGAAGATGGTGGTGGTGGGTAGGTCACAGGTACTCCTGAGCATCTTCAGGGTCTGTGATCTGCACTATATGGAAAGATTGAAGGGACCAGCCCCCCATTTTGGCAGCCATGACAGTAACACGTGCTCGCTATGACCTTGCCTTGGTCACTAAGAGGTCAGATGCCTGCCTCATGGCAAGGAGCCAATCAGAAGTTAGCTGGCAGCGCTATGCCTTATGGTGCTTTACCGACAAGCGCACAGCAATGACTTGAAGAGCATAGCAACCACCCTGGAAGGGCCCATGGGCCATAACAACCAATTGGCCAATCAACACAGGGCAAGTCCTCCAAGCCTGGAGGCACACCAATCCTGAGCCTGTGCGTACCCCTAGACACTCCACTTACGCTGCCCTACAAGATCGCTCAGCATCCAGTTTGAGGTGTCCTTGCTAGCCATCCGCCATGGGGGGTGGGTGAAAGACCTGAGCTAACCTGGGGTTAGCTCCTTAAAAAACAATAAAGCCTCATGCAGTTTGCATCAAGCGCTCGAATCTGCCTGGTGATTGGGGTGACCTCAGTCGTGGGCTGAGACCCCAGAGGTCTGAGTTTTTCCGGGGGGGTCTACCAAGATGTAAGGTTACCAGTAGTTCTGCTTTGGGAGGTAGTATTCTGAATGTCAAGACTCTGCCCATAAGAGCCCCATAGAAAAGCACAAAGACATTTTGTACATCGTATGCTTTTCTGGAGAGAAGCTCCATACCTCATCAGGTTCTCCAAGGATCAGACAGCAGGGCAAGAAAGCTCATCACACAAGTGATGGTAATAACATGGGTAACTTGAGATAGCTCTTTATTAAATGGGATAAACACAGTGGGGATAGAAGTGCTTTTCCTCTTTCTGAAGTTTCTAAATGTGTCCAAAAGAGTAGAGTAAAAGACTAAAAAAATTGAAATAATCCATTCAAAGGAAGCAGAATTGTTTCACACACATACACATACACACAAAAAGTTAGAGTTAGACATAGTGGCACAGGCCTTTAATCCCAGGACTCAGAGGGCAGAGACAGGCAGAACTCTGAGAGTTCGAGGTCAGCCTGGTCTACAGAGTGAATTCCAGAACAGCCAGGGCTATTATACAGAGAAACCCTACCCCCCCCCCAAATATAAGTTGATAAATGCAAGTTAGGTGCTATGCCAGGAAATAAAATTATGACTGTAACACAGATATTTATATCATTTATGAATATAGTTTTGTATATCTGACAATATGGATGTCACTGTCCAGTTTCAAACTTTAAATGTTATTAACAAATAGTTTTGCACCAAATTTTGTTTGTAATTTATTTAAACTCTCAGACTATACAATGCAGACACCTGAGCAAGTACTCACACAATGTCACAGCTCAGAGTGAGTGGTAAAGTGAAGGGGACAAATCTACTATATACTTTTCCACACCGGAAAGTGAAATTCCAGTGTACTGACTGAAACATATCCCTTTGGTGACAGCAGGCAGATTTACCGGGTACCAGTGTGCCAGACAGTTGTGAGGCTCAGCCCCCCAGGATCTCGACCCAGGACCTCGACGACCCCAATCACCAGGCAGAGGTAAAAACTTGATGCAAACGAGGCTATATTGCAGTTGTTTAACGAACTAACCACATGTTAGCTTGGGCCATTTATCCATCCACCATGGTGGATGGCTGGGAAAAGATGACAAGAAACCACGGAACAAAGATCTTATAGGGCAGCGTAAGGGGAGTGTCTAGGGGTACGCACAGGCTCAGGATTGGTGTGCCTCCAGCCTTGGAGGACTAGCCCTGTGTTGATTGGCCAACTGGTTGTTATGGCCCATAGGCCCTCTCAGGGCGATTGTTTTGCACGTCATTGCGGTGCACTTGCCCATAAAGCACAACCACAGCCGTAAAGCATAGCATTACCAGCTAACTTCTGAATGGTTCCTTGCCACGAGGCTGGCATCTGACCTCCTAGTGACCAAGGCATGGTCAGGCAAGCACATATTAGGCTGTTATGGCTGCCAATATGGGGAGCTGGTCCCTTCACCATGAGATCTTAATAAATAACACACAAACCAAGTGGCCAAGGCACAGGAGAATGATGCAAGGAATGGTGGCTCGGGGCTCTAGCTCAGCGACTACTGCAGTCCTAGTAGCCCTCAGAACTTCCCAGAGTGAACACTATTAATCCAGGACCAAGCACCTTAGGGAATTCTACACTACTTGCACTATGTCAGGGTTAGTTTTCCCTTGAGGTTTTTGCCTCTGTGCTCCAATCAGCATAGTGCTAACAGAAAGAAAATTTTAACTTAAAAATGAAAAGACATCTAAAAATATTATGTTTAAATGACTGTCAGTAGAGGGAAAATGGGGCCATCAAAACCACTCAATTATGGGAGCCCATCCCACATGGAGGGGTACTCCCTGAGCCTAGACACAAGGGAGTGGGCTAGGCCCTACCCCAAAGGATACAACAGACTCTGAAGACCCCCCTATGGATGGTGTCACCCTTCCTGGGGAGCAGAAAGGGTATGGGATAGGTAGGGGGTTAGTTGGAGGGGGGGCAAGGGAGGAGGCGAGGGACAGGGACCTGGGATTGACATGTAAAATAATCTTCTTTCTAATTAAAATAAGAAAAACCCACTCAATTAGATTGCTAGTCTACTTTAGCATTAGTATTTAACAAATGAATGCCTAATAGATGTAATACCAAGGGTTACCACACAAAGCCAGGAAAACTGGAAAAGGCTACAGGGAGAAAAGTAGAAAAGCAGGGTTTTCTCAACTGGAAACCCCTTTCGCTCAGTCTTATTGCTATGTATCTATACAAGCAGTTTACTGAATCACAGAAAAGTGTACTAACAAACTCTATGTAAATATATTTTTATGGAATCTTAATACCCTAAGAGTACTATGGATAAGTACACATCACACTGAATTTGTTTTGATTATAAATTAGTTACTAAGTTTATCTCTGAGCAGTTCATAGTACAGATGACTTCAAACTGTTAGACCAGAACCATAATCTTGCATGACAGGGTTAGCTACACTAATATTTACATAAGAGAAAATCTTTCCTAAAATAGTTGTGCATAACATGTATCTGGACCAAGTTTTAAATGTACAATATATTGTGTGCCTCTACACACACACACACACACACACACACTATACATTCTTTCATTTCACTTTGAAAATACCAACACATGCCTCTACTGTGACCAAAACACTAAGTCAACTAAATATACATTCTCTCATTTCATTTTTAAAACACCAACAAATGCCTCTACTGTGAACAAAGTGATACACACAGAAAAGGAACCGACCCACAAGTCTGAATCTCAAATCCTACCAGTGCAGTACAGCCCATTGGACACCTAGGGAAAATTCAACTAGTGTTTAAGATGTGACATTGAAGAGTTTTGTTTGTTTTCAAACAGAAAAAAATATGAGGGCTGTGGGGAGAAGAGTGAAGGGGGAGGAGGGAGATGTATAGGGTGGAGAAAAGGAAAAGAGGAGGTAGGAAAAATGGAGACTAGAAGACGTTATTCAGCAATCTCCCTGACTCTCTTTTATATCTGCTCTGCTAACACATACAATAACTATAATAAACATGACAATGGATAATTGCTGAATATGTCCATTCACATACACAAAACTGCACACTTTATTATGTCTCCTGAACAACATTGTTTAGAAAGATACCTCTGACCCAAGAGGAAAGAGGCTTTGATCTTTATTACTTTCTGAGGAGGGTAAACTGCTCAGCAGAGTGGATACAACATCTCTAAAGATCTAAGTGAAAATCCAAAGAGGAGTTTTCTACAGCCACACTCCTGAAAAATTAACTAAGCAGACTCATAGACTCCACAGGAAGAACAAAGGGAAGTGGAGGACAGAGGAAAATAAAACAGGACAGCTCATGAGTAACAGGAAATGTTTTGCCAGAATCAGGCTGGGAGACTTGAAAATTCTGCTCTGCTTCTGAGGAATGCTATTCCATCCTTCAGTGACAATAATGTAACTTCGGTTATTTACTACTGATGATACATTAGTCATTAAAGGTCACACTTTTCTCATGAAGAAAGAACATCTTGCCACAGCAGTCACCCTGATCTAGGGCAGGAGTTGGAGTAGTTAACAATCTGAAGGCTGTTTCTATGGCTAATCATACTCAATCAGGGGGCTGAAATCTCCCTGACTGAGCGTCTCAGTTCACTTTCGACTCTACTAAGGAAAGGAGAAGACCCTTAAATCACACCACAATGGAACATACTTAAGTTATTTCATTTTCCCCTAGTTTTGCATATATACTCTGGAAAGGAAATCTGTATTATTATAATAGATGGAAGTAGAAAAAACAACCAGTCAAAAGCTAAAAGGAAATTATCAAGTTGGTAAGCAGCAGAGGCCTCTTACATACCACCTCACTGAAACCCTATTACACAGCCTTTTAGTTGCAAAGGTGTATCTATTGACATGGCTGGCCACTTTGAAACCTAAGTCTGTATACTTAACTGAACAGATAGAAATCAAACAGTTAAAAGCTAAAATTTAGGCCTGAGCATCCCAACTGTAAAGCACATATTTTCTACTGTACCCATAGTACATATAAGTCAGAACTAAATAGTACAAACACATTTCTCTAGCATCTTACTATAACTTGGAACCAAGTCAATATTTAAGATTCACTTTCTTGATCTGCAAATTGGAATTAATTACTACCTTGCTAACTTGAACACACATACCTAAAATCAAGTGTTTGGTTTCTCTTTCTATCCCATGTTTTTCTGAATTCCGGTAGGGTAAGAGACTATAAGTAACATTTGTAAGAGGTCAATCCATCTCTCAACTTACAAACAGAGGCTTCCTGTCTATAAAGCACAATGACTTAGTTCAGCCTGGTTTCGTCCCAAAGGAAAGCATGTACTATAAAGAGGCATGATACCCTGCAGTAAGAAAAGGTTTCTTGTGATGCTAACAGAGTAGATCAGAAGTGAACCCTAATTCTTCCTTACAGCTGTAATTATCAGATAATCATGATTTATTTCTTTAACAAACAGCTAAATATACTCAGATATCTCACACTCATTGGTCACTGAACATATCTTAAGGAGCAAAGCTGGCTCTTTGTGCATAGGCTAATTTACTAATGACCCTGATCTATCTAAAAGGGGCACATGTGCCAACAAGGCCATAACAGTCACACTTATGTGATTATTAGAACCCCCATCCCAAAATTCCTATGCTGTTAAGTCATCAGGCCGGAGATAACTTCTTTCAGCAATACTAGAAAACTAACTAATATTTCATGTCAAGACTTTCCCAGGAACACAAGGCATCAAGAGGCCCTACTGCACTCCAAATGAGGAGTCCTGCTGTCATCCAGAAAGGCTTCGCTGAGCTAGGCCTCTCCCATGGATGCAAAACCTCAATAAAGCATACCTCATCCTTTTTCTCCTGAATTCGTCGTCTCTCAGCCTCAATGGTCAGCTTCTCCTGAATTTCCTGAGCAATTTCACAATCATGCTGTTCACTAGAAAACAAAGGTAAAGGTGATATCAATAAAGAACACAAAGGAACATTTTGTTAAAAACAGTATAGTTTATTGAATACTCATTGTAAGCTGTTATATATTTTAATTCAATTTGCATGACAGTGACCAAAAGGACTAAAGTCCAACTGAACCGAGTAGAAAGTTGGATCACAAACTGTGGTGGAATATTATTTTATGGTGTGTGAATTTGTTTAGCTCTGTGAAGCTGTGTTATGATGCCAGTCTAAAATACCTGGTGGTCCTAATAAAAAGCTGAATGGCCAATAGCAAGGCAGGAATGAAGACAGGCAGGGCTGGCAGGCAGAGAGGATAAACAAGTATAAACAGTACAAACAAATCTGTATTGTTTTTAAATTTAAAAATGAACACTAAAAGATGTGTTAAAATTGAAAAGGACAAAAGGAGCTTGCATTCTTTAACCGTGGTTCCAAGTGTGGACTTCTTTGGAAAAATGTCAGTTTTCTCAGTGCTTTGGACATTAGAAACATTGTTGCTAGCACAGTGTCATGTTTTTAGTTTTCTGCTTATTTATTTGATTTTCGTATTAATACATGAAACAGCAATTTAAGCAACAACTACTAGGGACCCAACATGATGTTCAATACAGAGGAAACAAACAAGTCTTTTATACATTTAGATGGGAGAAGCCAGGGCAATTATTTTAGTAAGAGAAAAAGAACCTTTAAGATATATTCCTGCATTTTACATGTCTGTGTTGAGTGCCTGCATGTGTGAATAGGCACCACACACCTCTGGTACCCAAGGAGGCAAAAAGACAGCATCAGATCCCTGGAACTGGAGTTCTAGATGGTTGTGAGCTGGTAATGGGAACAAAACCCAAGGCCTCTCCCAGGGCAGCAAGAGGTTCTCTCCTAGCATCTTTAAGAAGTGTAATTCTCTCAGAAGTAACTATAAAGTATGATCCTGGGTACAGAGTCTTCTGGTTTCAGGTTTTAAGTTTTAAGAAAAATGATAGTTTTTAAACTATCCCAGAGTGTGATAACTCCAGGAAGTCAGCTCTTGTACAAAGCAGCCATCTAGGAAAATGAACAAAATTATATTTTAGAAATGACTACTTCAAAACAAGCTGAAAAATTCAAATTATAATTTGCAGTTTATCTGTTAATACATCTCCCTTCATTTTCCCTCCAACAAATATGCTATGAGTCTCAGACATGGTTACATATTCCATGTTGATATCAAGTTACATTAGAAAGTACTGTCAGGGGATCCCTAACTTTTTCTGAAGTAACTGAAACCCATACATTCTAACAAACCCAAGGAGATAAAAATAATTTTCATTTACATCACAAAATGTTGGTTTTTAATATTCTTGGAAATTGGTAGATATACCTAAAAGTAGGAGTGTGTCTATACATACTAATGTATATACATATCAGATTTCATTTTAAGACATGCTAGCAAGAAACAATCCATAAATGAAAAGTCTGTAGACCTGATTTTGGTCAGTCATGAGCTATGACCTCTCATGCCACTGAATAAGTTATAAAAAATGGTTTAGACTTTAGGTTATAAGTCAAGTATGTTAGGATCTTACCCATTAAAACAAAGACATAAACTTAAACAGGTGACTAGGAACAGGAAGAAAGCAGAAGCAAAATGTGGAAAGCAGATCAAAATTCCAAAGGTCACCAGTGATACAGAAGATACGAAAGTGAAGCTTAGTCTTAGCTTCACAACTTCACAGCTTGCTTCTAGGTAAGGCTAGTTCCAGCTCACTCATCTAAAAGTACAGAACCATGAGGCAGGAACACTACCTGAGTATGGAGCAGTCAACACTGGTCACCCTGGCTGGAAAGTAGCTAAAGGTCCCAATCTGAGTGAAAGGTACCATTAATGAAAATGCCTGCTGTGCCAGCCAGCCAGACTGTCAGGGGACAAAGGCTGAAAGCTGCTATTACTAGCTTCCTTGGAGCCCACAACCTTGGAGTCCTATGAAGAAATGTGACATTTCTCACATTTAGCACTTATAACCTATCATTCTACAACTCAGAACTTTCTAGAACAGTGTGCTTCTTGAAAAGCAAGGAAATCAAAGAAAGATGGTGCAGCAAACACAGCTAAGAAAACTAAAGGAACCCATGATGGTGTCTATTATTCCAGTGCTTTCCCCAAACAAACTTACAGTCAGAAGATAAGAGATTATTTTCTTCATGGCATGGGTACAAAGACTAAATTGAAAGAGACAAACCAATCAGCTCAAAATCATGAGTAAAAGCGTGCCTACTATGACTAACATTTCCATATTTCAGTAACAAAGAAAATTACTGGACAGCCACCACACAATTTGTAATTCCAGACAGAAAAGAAACAGAGCTAGGAGTGGCCCCTTCCTGCCCAGCTGCTGCTCCCATGGGCATGCTTCATAGCAATACCATTCCCCAGATCTCACAGGTCTTTGTAGAGCTTCTGGAGCTGAGCTTGGGCTCTCAGGTCTTCCTCTTGGAGCTGCTTAGCCACCTGCAGATCATGCTGTACCAGACGGCTCCGCTGAATGTTTGATGCCAAATGATGCTCAACTGGACAGAACCATTAAAAGAGGAGTTACAGTGTGTTGACTGGTTAATAAAAAGCTTATAATTAATTTAAGCAGAGCCTTGCCATTTAAAAGTGGCATTTAAAAGATTTATACATCCACCACTCCACTTTATGCTTTTAATAATAGATGAAAGTACTTCACGAATTATTCCACTGAATAAAAGACCAAAAGGAGTGAGTTGTTTGCTTTTGATCACATGACATAAAAGTTGCAGCACCTGGATATCTATACAGACAGACTAAGTGGGCCATTGTTCTTTCTACTAAACTCTGTTGCCATTCCAAGAACTCACAAATCATGAACTCATAAATTGCTATCTAATTGGGTTTTACTTTCTACTAAAACACTAAATAAGTATTTATAAAAATCCACCTCGTGGGGTTAGAGTACACCTTTGTTGGCAGAGTACATGCCTAGCATGCAGGGAATACCTGGGTCCCATCCTCAACATGGCATCAACTGCGTGTGGTGTGACATGCCTGTAATGCCAGCACTTGAGACATAGAGCAGGAGGATCAGACTTCCAAGATCATCCTAGACTACATAAGGAGTTTCAGATCAGTCTGGGCTACCCTATCTCAAACAACAAACAAATCCACAGTGTTACTTAACATAGATACTACTATTGCCTGAGGAAAATTTTGCTGTTTCTATTTCAAGGAAAGCTTCCAACATACTACAGATACATTTACAACCACTGTCTGCCTCCTAAGGAAGGGAAGGGAAATGTCTCTCCTTTTCCTCCAGACAGTGAACACTATTCTTATCCCTGACTCACTTCAAAACATGCAGAATTCATTATTTACCCTTGTCATTTGCCAAGACCTATCCCTCAGATATGAGGTATACTTAGTGACTTTCTCCTTACCTCACAGGAAGAAATTAGCCTCAAGCTGCCACTAAAGAGAAAGCTGCAGGCTCATGAATTAGAGCTGTTACTTACTTTCTTGTTCCTGCAGGCTATGAGCCAGGGTGTGGTCCTCCAGAACAGCAAAATCTCGACACACTGTAGAGGAGGAAGAGCAGAACGGAGAACTTAGTTTTACTGCACTTCTCCATAAAGTTAAAAGAATTTGTGTACTTCAGAACAATTTCAATATTTTACAGTTTATTAGCCTAAATGATTCACAATGCATAAAATGTCTAGTAAAGTATTAATTCATCACTCACAATAATTACTAGTGTTGGACTGGAGAAATGGCTCAGTGGTTAAGAACAATTACTGCTCTTGCAAAGGACCTTGGTTTGGATCCCAACAACTCACATCATCTTACAAAGGTGGATCCAACACATTCTTCTAGCCTCCACAGAGGTTGAACATACATAAAAATGCAGACAAACACTCAAAAACAAAAATAAATCATAAAATAAAAACCCATAGTGCCTGTTAAACATCAAGTAACTATGCCACAAAACAATGGTAAGCTCTTTCTCCCCTTGCCTCGGAACCCAGAGGTCTACAAATGTCCATCCACCTCTCTAAGGTGAAGTTAAAATAACCAGAGTCAACAGTGCTTTGCATATGGCTTGCCGCTAAGGGAAAGCTGGTTCGCAGGAGGGTTTGAAGAATCACAGCACTTTACTACACCTCAGCCAATAGTTCAAGGATCCCCCTGTGGAGATATGCCAACTTCAGTGTGTGTGTGTGTGTGTGTGTGTGTGTGTGTGTGTGTGTGTGCGCGCGCGCATTCTGTCAAACATGCATGCAGGGAGTCGGGGATCTCACTTTGTTAGTTCCTCAGGTAGGAGGTCTCTACTATGAGGAGTTACCTTACTCAATGGCATGAATTAGAATGGAATTCTAATGAATTATAATTCACATAAATTAGAATGGAACCTCTAGTTCTGTGTAAAGCAAGGGCTGCTCCCCAATAATCTGTAATCCAAGAAACAGGAAGCCTCAAGCCATGGATCATATGGAAACATGTTGGGGGGGGGGGTCTTGGAGATGTCAAGATTATTTTTAAATGGTTTTATGGCACAAGAATCATTTCTGCCCAATAAGTACGTCAAACTGAATATAATCTATTTATTCCTTCTCAAATGTAACTGATAAACTAGTAATTCCAATTGAAATCTGTGTTCTTCTCATCACATATATTCTCAGAATATTCTAACAACTTGAGGCCCAGTTTGAGTTACTCTTTAGCTCATGGAATGAGCTTTCCAATTATGCTAGTTAACATCTTGGGACAGACAGATGGACCACATTAGGACTATACATACAATGTGGTCATTGGTGGCAAGGCTAGAATAAAAGTCAGTGTTAATCAGTAAGAGTTCATTGTTTCCCTGACAATTTGACTATACTTTGTAATACCAGTAAACTGTGGAAGAAAAGACTGAAAAAAAATCTATATTAACCAATATGGAGTCTCTAAAACATTTCAACTAATTACAGACTGTTTCTTGGCTAATCCATGTGTGCTTTCAACTTATAGGAAACAAGTATTCACAGTGTATTGTCAATGATAAATACAACCAAATGCATGGCCTTATAAACTGATCTTTCCTGCAGCAATAATGGAAACATTTACACTAATAGACTAGGTCAAGTTCTTATATTAATTACTCTTATGAATACTGTATCTGAGGAAAGCATTTTGAAAAGAAAAGAGAAGGTACAGGAAGAATGGCAAGTTTGTGATCCCAACACTCAGGGACTAATGAGGAAGGATCGAAAGTTCAGGCAGCATGAGTTACACAGTGAGATTCCATATAAAAGCAGTAATGACACTGAACAGAAAACAAAGTCTATAATATATACTACATGAGACTTTGTCTTGGAGAAATTATTTTTCAGTATTACAGATAGAAATATAAACAAACATACATGCATCTAAATTGTATGTACATGCTTCTTGGATCCCTAATTTCTTAAACTTTTTGTGATGTATTTCTTATACTTTAGACATTTAACTTCAGATTCTTTAAATACAATTATTCAAACCCACTTATTTTGATAATATATTTTGCTAATCTTCAAAGGTGAAGATATGCTCAGGCATGTAACAGTTCAAAGGATTAATGATCACCAGAATATGGTTTCTTTTTAGTGATTTTTAATGTTATCAAAATGGCTGGACTTAAGCATATTCAATCATTGTTTACTGCAGAGGCTGACTTGGTATTTACAGAGTATGATTAGGGCTTTGGTTGGTAAAGAAGGTCATAGGACATATACGTATGCATACATAGAGAGGTATGCTGTCAAACACACTGATGGACATGGAATTCCAAAGTTTACTGAGTTTTCTAACAGCTTCCATATCCATAATTTCATTTAGATAGGAATATTATTAGTGTGATTCTTCTGTATCAACTGCATTTCCATTCAAGACCTTCCTCTGAGTTCATTGCATCACTATAAAGCAAGCTGAAGTAGTTACAAATGTGGACATCTTTGTAAATCAGTAACCAGAATGGCCCTGCTGAAAACACTTCACAGCCTGGCCAAATTCAGAAGATGGATGGAACCTTTGATCCTTCTCTAACCTACTCCATATGAAGCAAGCAATATTAACAGTCTAGCTCATCTTAATGCACACATGACAAAGCATTGGTAACTGAACTTCAATGTTCCTACTTCTCAAACTTTTCTTCACTGCCACATCAGTCACCAGGCAATTCGGTAAGATGCAATATCTTGAGGGCAGGGACTCTGTGGGTATTATCTCCACCCTTTCTCCACACAATGTATGCAGACAGCAAAACTAACAGATTTTGTCCACATGCAAAACTTTGACAGTTCTGGGAAAGATCGGTAACTAGAAGGCACTCCATGTGATCCAGCTAATAAAATCAGAATAAGAAAGAGCAGAATATTCCAAAGACAGAAGAGGAAGCCCTTCCAGTATTCACACAGGCAGTGAGTGACACAACAGTTGAAATATGTGGGAAATGAGAAAGGCAACACAACAGAAAGTAGCCAAGACAAACACCTCTAGCAGCATAGATTCCTGGCAGAAGCAGGAGAAATAAAAGCCTCACCCAAAGGATAAGCCTTGGAGACCTGGTGAAGGCACCAGTCTCAGAACAAGCCCATAGCAGTCATACTCAAATGCTACTGAAGTGATGGGTCAGCAGTGTACCCATTTTGTCATACTGTGTGACTTCAAAGTCCATGAGTAGGCTCCTTCTTGAGAGCTGGGGGCCTGAAAACAGAATACACCCAGAAGTCAGGTGTCTGAATATAACCTACCACAACCACAGAGTGAAAACATGCCCTAAGTTGGCAGTGACATGTTGAAAAGAGAAAACTACAGGAAAAAGTTGAGAACATAACTTTGCCTACAGAAAATTTCTGCCAAATATACCTCAGACAGGGTATTAATGTCCAGAATATATAGAGTGACAAATAATAAATGCCAAAAAGGCTAGCAGTATATAATTCAGTCGGTAGAGTGCTTGCCCAGCATTCCCAAGGCCTTGCATTCTATCCACTGCACACATCCATAATCCAAGCACAAAAATAGGGGTAGGATCATCAAAAAATTCAGGGTCATCTTCTGCTTCATCATGAGTTTGAGGAAAGCCTAGGCTACACAAGACCATGTCTAAACAATAAGCAAATACAAAAAAAAAAAAAAAAAAAAAAAAAAGTCAACCAGTCAATAAATGGACCAGTGAACTGGTGAGCTGAACAGATGCCTTTTAAAGAAAAACAAATGATGTAATAGTTGTAATTGTTGAATATTCTTAGCCATCAGGCATGTAAAGTAAAAGTTTTCTAAGATCCCATCTCACCTCTATCAGAATGGCTATCATCAATAGAACAAATGACAACAGTGGCTGGTAAAGATGGGGACAAGAAATAATCCATGTCTCTGTGTCAATAAGAATGTTCCTTGCTCCTGTATGTTCATTGGTGCTCTATTCATAAGAATCCAAAATTGAAAACAGCTTAGATGCCCATAAACTGATGAGTGGATAATGAAAATATGGTGCATTTACACAATGGAATATTAGTGAGCAATTTCAAATAAAACAAAATTATGAAATTTATAGGTAAACGGATACAGCTAGAAAAATTCAACCTGAGTGAGGTAACCCAGACCCCAAAAGACAAATGCTGTACATTTTCTCTAACATGTGAATATTAGCTTTTAAGCCTTCGATAAGCATGATATAATCCATATAATGACAAAGATAGGTATCTATAAGGGACAAGGAGTAAAGGGAGGGCGCCCCAAAGAAAGGAAAATAGCATACAGGACAGATGCAGTGAGGGGTGTGACTCAGATAGGAGGATTAAATGGGGAAGGGGATGCATGACAAGCAAGGGAGTAAATATGATTCAATACAATTCCCATGAAAATCCCAACACAATTCTTCACAGACCTTGAAAGAACAATTCTCAATTTTAATGGAGAAACAAAAGACCCAGGATAGCCAAAACAACCCTGTACAATAAAGGAACTTCTGGAGGCATCACCATCCCTGACTTCAAGCTCTATTACAGAGCTATAGTCCTGAAAACAGCTTGGTATTGGCACAATAGTAGACAGGTAGACCAATAAATAGAATTGAAAACCCCAATATTAACCCACACCCCTACAAACACTTGATTTTTGACAAAGAAGCTAAATTTATACAATGGAATAAAGAAGCATCTTCAACAAATGGTGCTGGCATAACTGGATGCTGGCATGTAGAAGACTGCAGATAGGTCCATATGTATTGCCATGCACAAAACTTAAGTCCAAATTGATCAAAGATCTCAACATAAATCCACTCACACTGAATCATTAGAAGACAAAGTGGGAAATACCTTTGAATTAATCAGTACTGGAGACTGCTTCCTGAACATTACACCAGTAGCATAGACACTGAAACTAACAATTGATAAATGGGACCTCCTGAAACTGAGAAGCTTCTGTAAGGATAAGGACACAGTCAGTGAGACAAAACTGACAAAACTGATATTTTCCCGTTGGGAAAATATATTCACCAATCCCACATCTGACAGAGGGCTGATCTTCAAAATATACAAAGAACTCAAGAAGC